TTTTTTTTATAAGTTCTATATTTTTTTTACGTTGCTTTCAGTTAGTTGTTGTTGACTTTTTATTAAAATTCAACTCTAAAAATTTAAATTAACTAATAGTAAAATAAAAAATGTGATATAAAATAAAGCAAATGAAAACAAAATAAAGTAACATTAAATATATAGATCAAATAAAATAAAAAATATATAAAATAAATAGAAACAAAAAAAAATTTCGCAATCGCTCCAACCGAGGATCGAACCTAAAGGAATCGTGATAGATATAGACATTAGAGTGGTCAGTCTCCATAAACCACACTGACCTTTGCCCCCTGTGCGACGCGCCTTAACCGACTTCAATCGGGACCAAAATATATATGTTATTTCTTTGAACGTGGTATTACCGATTGAGGGGTGAGACTGTATAAGATCGTTCATTTAATTTTAAGGACCACCCTTATAGACATATGTATTACTCAGAATGAAAAGAGAAGCCGATTTAGCCATCGGATGGACAGACATGGCATATCCTTGTACACGACACCGCCCACTTATAAAGAAATCCTGTTTCTCAGTAGTCGCTTAACGAACCCACACCAAACTTGGTACGAACATTGCTTATTTTGACAATAACCAGGGGCTGGATTCTGTTACTGTAGAAAATCTAGTGTACACAGAGTGCAAAACTCACAACCAAAAGCTCACCGAATAAAATTCATTGAGTTTGTCGGAAGAGAAGTATACACAATTTTGACAGTTAAAACTCATTCTCACACTTTCTGAATCGCAAAATGAAGAGCGTACACAATTTTCAGTGTACACTTGAAAACTCATAGTTACAGAATCCAGCCCCAAGCCTACCTCCCATAAAACGATAATTTAAAGAAATACGAAAGTTGCGATAAATCAGTATCTAACTATTAAAGCTTCGTAACTCGAAATCGATGTTTGCAATAATCTTTTAGAAGCAAATGATATTATTGCAAAGTTTTGGAATATGGGCGTGGTACCGCCCACTTCTGACTACATATGTATGTGCATCTGGGTAATCGAATTAGCCATATCTATATCTCCTATATATTAATAATAAATAGGGATAATAATAATAATTTACTCCAAGTTAATACTTACAACAATGTCTTAAAAAGAAATAAGTTTATTAGATAGATTTTCAGAAAATGTGATCTACACCCCACACTTATGACTACTTAAGTTCATATCGTTAAGCGCTTTATGGATTTCTACCAAGCGCAGTTCAATTAAATATTACATTAAGTCTAATTAAGTATATTATCGAAAATTTTTGAAATCGGCGTAAAACCCCAACTTTTCATGTAGTTTACAGAATGGCGAAAAAACGTTATTTAATACGTGCGCCGGATATATAAAGTTCAGTTTCGCCCGAACTTATACTTCTTTACCTGTTTTTCTATTTGATGTCCGATTTCTATAAATGATACATACATCGTTGTTGAAGGATAAAGAAATAGGACATCAGGATGCCGAAAAAGGTTTTACACTCCTGAAATACCCTCATAATAAGTGTTCAGAATTGCTTGGAACAAATTGAACTTTTATTTGTGATACGGTCTAATGCGAATGGTACATATCTACGGTGACCAACTGTCCCGCTGAATATTTTTTATAAGTCGGGACGTATAAGTGTCCCGATTTTTCATATTTGTACCAACTAAATCCCAATTTTCGGTGTTTTCCTTATTAATTTAACAAGTCTCCCTTTACTGTGGCCCAAAAGCACTTCGTTATCACAAGCAGGGTGTCCAGTTTGTTTAAAAAAAGAGCGCAATTTCTGAAAAAAAAATTCGCCAAAAATCGCCAATTTTTTTTTAATAAAATTCATGAAATCGATTTAACAAATCTTTTATCTTAAAAACGAGACAGTATTTAAAACCAAAAACGAATATAATACCCTCAGAGGGTAATAATAAATAAGACAAATCACTTATATAATAGTGATGTACAAACAATATTGGTTTCAACATATTTTGCAATAGGACTGCGCAATTATTAAATTTGTTAGAACTCATATCAATTGATTAAGTGCACAATCCGCCTTTAAGAGCTCGGCGCTAAAAATTAGATAAAAACCTATAATAGAGATCAGGTATTCAACAATTTCTTCAAAGTCACCTATAGTGTCTGAATGATTTACATTTCTGTTGTTCTCATATTTGAGCTATTCAACCTTGATAACATACTGTTTGATATTGGAAACGTTTTGCAGCAGAAACTATTAGCCTTCATATAACACTTTATTCGAACTATTGAATTAAGGCTTTCCAACCTCATCCAATTTCGAATCTTAGTCTTTGTTGAATTCATTACGGAAAAAACACTCTCAACAAAGCATGTGAGTGCGGCAAGGATAATAATACGAATTTACTTATATTTTCAAACATTTAATTTCTTCAGAGTCAGACGAAATAGTTCTGAGAAAAGTTATTCCGTGGGAAAGTTAAAATATTTAAATATTCAGTTTCCGCTGCTTTTCTTTCCTTCAAAGTCAAATAGTGAATTGGCAGGTCCCTGAAACTCGCCCTCCTGTGATTCACACACTTTTCTGGTAACAAAACCAAAGCTTTTTTAGAAGTATTTAATTGACAATGTAATCGTTTCAAAATATCTTCGATTAGGGTGATTAAACATTTTTGGCAGTCTTTTAATATGCTTCTTAAATCAAGTTTATCCCGCAGTTCATTAGCCTCTTCTGTAAAATTATCGTGGAAAACTAAGTTTTGTATATTTTTATAATTGGAAAAAATTCTTAAATTTTTATGCGCAAATATCCAAAAAAAATCGCCAAATTACAAGGGACATATAATATAAAGGAACCGTAAACACAGGCGGCATCCTTATTTTCTATGATCTTTGGTAATATTTTATTCTGTCAAACTGGTACCCCGCTATATTTCAGTCTATGATTTTTGTTTGTTCTGTAACGATTCTATCTTGAAATAAGTGAAATAATAAAAACATAATAATTCCCTCAAAAAAATCATTGTATAAAAATTATAAGCTGTAGATACAGTGCCGAAAATATAAATAGGGAAGAGACATTTTAGCATTATTTGGCTATTCTCTTTTCGAGTATTTAATGTTTGTTATTTTTTATGAAAGTGTAGCTCAGTATCTAACAAATACCATGTAAGTAAGAATTTCTCAGAAACATGAGTACCGTTGATTTTCTGTAAATTTTTTGTGGAAGGTGTTGCTCATTTTTTCCATAAAAAGAAATTGTTGAACATACTTTGTATGGAAGAAACTGCGCAAACAAATAATTAAGCTGATGCCAGATAAAACTTTGTAGCTTTGCGTGACATTTATAACTTTGCCAGCAAAGCGCCAGACGCAAAAGGTATGCCACAATGAACGCCAACGAAAACAATTTTGTACGGATTTTTTACTCGTCAAAATTGCTGTGCATTTTATATATTTTGCTTTGATATTTTTATCAGAAATGTAATTAAATTTTATGTTTCTGCATGAAAACTCGAATTTGGACGAAAATAAATATTAAACCTAAAGTGGCTGATTGCCAAAGCGCACAAAAAGATTCAAACCAATTCTAGAAAATCTGATTGAAATGTTTAAAATTTTCATAAACATTTGTTAAAATTCGTCGAATTTTTATAAATGTTTACAAAGTTTGAAGTTTTGATTTACATGTTTTTTAGATAGTAAATTATATTTTCATAAAAAAATAATAAACAATTTTTAAACAAACAAAAGTAGCCAAAACATGCTAAAATGTCTTTTGCCTATTTACATTCTCGCCACCGTACACATTGTATGCACACATTTTTGCTATAATTTTTCAAGTTGTTTCTCTTTGTTTTGTCGAGATATTTAGTAAACCAGTATTTATGGTCCGATTTCGTTCATAATTAGAAAGCTGCTTTTAAAAACTTTTTTTTACTATTAACTTATAATTCTAATAACAAAATTGTATGTGCGGATTCGATGCTTTAGAAATGTCCCGATTTTTGGCCCCACACAAATCTGGTCACCGCAGACATATCTAAGTATGTATGTACATACATATATGCATACAAATCTATGCGAATATCTGAATTCAACCACACCCACTTATTAATAAAGATGACTTAAGTACGCGTAAACTCATTTAAAATATCTTAACATGTGTGCAAGTGCATTTATATACATACATACATATGTATATATGGAAGTGTTTAAAAACAAGAAAGTGTTTTTGTACTACTTAGTTACATATGTGAATGACATCTTTACTTTAAAAATGCGCCTAGGCTTATACTTATACACAAACATATGTATGTATAAATATACATAATTGATATATGTAGTTACCAAATTTAATTTTAATTAATTAATTAAGCAACTTTATATTATTTCACAAAATGTTTAGTCGACACAATATACTATACACTTAGTTCCAAAAATATTCAAAACCAGCCTCAGAAACTTTGGTATATGTGAGTTTGTGTGTACACATCGCGCCCTGCGATAAGATTTTAAGATTTTATAAAGTTATACAAATCCCGCATTTATTCCGTTGGGTTGNTAGACATATCTAAGTATGTATGTATGTACATATATGCATACAAATCTATGCGAATATCTGAACTCAACCACACCCACTTATTAATAAAGATGACTTAAGTACGCGTAAACTCATTTAAAATATCTTAACATGTGTGCAAGTGCATTTACATACATACATACATATGTATATATGGAAGTGTTTAAAAACAAGAAAGTGTTTTTGTACTACTTAGTTACATATGTATGTGAATGACATCTTTACTTTAAGGCTTATACTTATACACAAACATATGTATGTACAAATATACATAATTGATATATGTAGTTACCAAATTTAATTTAAATTAATTAATTAACTTTATTATTTCACAAAATGTTTAGTTGATACAATATACTATACACTTAGTTCCAAAAATATTGAAAACCAGCCTCAGAAACTTTGGTATATGTGAGTTTGAGTGTACACATCGCGCCCTGCGATAAGACTTTAAGATTTTATAAAGTTATACAAATCCCGCATTTATTCCGTTGGGTTGTGTATAATTCGACGGCTTGAGTTTGACTGAATGAGTCGGTCTGGTTCTGGCGCCAAGCTTTAGCCGACGGACTCATAAATGTAGTGCATGTACATACATATGTACATAAATGCGCGCGAGTACACTGAGGGAAAAAAATATTAAAATCAATCAGAAACATAGTTGATCTTACTATAAACGTCAACGAAAGTACTTTAAAGTGGCAAATATTCAATTCAACTACGCACATATTAAAATGAGCGCGTTCGTTCTGAAGAAGTATCCGTGAAGTGAATAATCAAGGTAAAACAAAAGAAAAAAATATTAATTTGCATGTTGCCTGCCATTAGTGCATTTATAGAGATCAACATGTACTATGCATGTACCTGGGTGTTGTCAACACTCCGCATGCTTGGTACATACCCAGTGGGAACAGGTAATGTCTGGGAATGCAAAAAGTAATGGANAAGTACACTGAGGGAAAAAAATATTAAAACCAATCAGAAACATAGTTGATCTTACTATAAACGTCAACGAATTTACTTTATAGTGGCAAATATTCAATTCAACTACACGCAAATTAAATTGACCGCGTTCGTTCTGAAGAAGCATCCGTGAAGTGAATAATCAAGATAAAACAAAACAAAAAAATATTAATTTGCATGTTGCCTGCATTGGAATTCGAACCCTGGCCCTCTCTGGATATCAAATGTTGAATTTCCATCAACACCACAGCACGCCATTAGTGCATTTGTAGAGATCAACATGTACTATGCATGTACGTGGGTGTTGTCAACACTCTGCATGCTTGGTACATACCCAGTGGGAACAGGTAATGTCTGGGAATGCAAAAAGTAATGGACAGCCCCTATAACTTACGCACGAAATGATGCAAGAATTTCTCCACAGCAATGTCATACGAAAGTAATTGGTCGTATGTCGATTTACGAACTTTAAATATAGAATTTAAAAAAAGAAATACAAAATAAAATCCATGCCACAGGTTTTGAACCCGTGACCAACAACACGGTAGTCGAACACACATCTATTCGGCTATAGCAGCTGTTGAGAAAATGTGAAAAAACATACTTGAGTTAGTTTTCAAACTTATTGTTTTGTTTGTGGCTACAAAACTACACATCATCCGCTCGCTTACATTGCGATGCATCTTTTCATTCAACCGTAGTTGTTAATCTTTTCCTGGTAGAAACAGGTAATGCATTCCCATTTTCGCACTGGGTATATGTACACTTACATATACATACTCAGATGTGGACATTCAAATACTTGCGTGCTAAATCTTGGTATGAAAGTATTATTTTTAAATATGAACATTTTTAAACGATAATTTAATATAAAGTATTCATTTTTGCTATGCAATAATTGCGTTTGTTTACTCATTTCCAGTAAAATCCCGTAAAAGTTTTTACGAATTTTCATGTTTTGGCGTTTTCGTACGCAAAAACTTGCAAAGTAGGGGAAATTGAGAGAGCGAAAAATGACAGTTGAAGTTGCAAGTTTTTACTGGGTTTTACTGGATAAATTTTTACTTGTAAGAATTTGCCAGTACGAAAAACAGCTGATCGCACGTTGCTGGATGAAATTTAAACAAATAAGGAGACTGTTTGTGTGTTTTTATTGTTGAGATTCACAAAATAAACCCATTTAAATATAAAATATATTGTTTTATTAGACATTTGCTGCGAATAAACAACCAATTTATCAGCTGTTCATGAAACTTGCAAATTATTACTGGAAAAGCGTTCAGGTACTTTTTTGCAAATTTTTTCTATGAGAGTGAATTCTTAGAAATAAAATTACTGGAGAGTTGCTGGCAAGTTACGGGATAATTTTTAAACAAACACAACTATTATTTCCCTCAGTGTACCTATGTATCTGCATATATGAAATAAGAATGTACGCCTAAGTTATGCGTTTGACTTCCACTCAATTAATAAAAGCGGCAGTAATCAACTGCAATGAGAACAATAACATCGAATCATGTCAGGGCAGACGGACGCTTACATCTCACTTTCGCTTTGAACCGATTCTTCTGCGTGCATTTCACTTGTATACTCTTTTAATAAACGAGATCTCAATGTCTTCTTGGCACATTTTTTCCGCATGTAAGCGTGTGGTTTATGTAACGCCCTGTTGCATTGGGGTACATCAAGGTTAAATGAACTGGAAATGGCCCGGCGAATATTAACCGGCAGTTTTCAATCTAGAGAAGAATCCCCTAGAAGCGAATTGATATACATACATATGTACATATGTAATAATAATAATCTTAACGGTTTTTACCCTCCATTCCCGCCCATCCGCACGAGGGGCGCAGTCCGCATGACGTACGGAACCAGTATTTTAAGTTTTTGCGCCGAGTCACGATAGGCAGGACTTTTTTAAGTGTCGAGATCTAAAACTGTTCAGCTACAGAACTAAATTCATCAGCTGATTTTATGCCTTTATGTTAATAATTCATTTATTGAGAGAGAAGAGTACCGCTTTCTTAATACTGAAAAGCGGATCTGATACATCAAACGTGCTGGAACGAGAGTTAAAATCCTGGCATAAGCAACGGAGTGGGTCGTGCAATTCAGAATTAGTTTTACAAGCTTTCAGAAAGAGGGGAAAAAAGTAGGAATTGTTTTTGAATTCATTCTATCTTGTCTGAGTAAATTTGATACGTTGGATTCCAAACCATCGAACTGTATTCCAAAATCGGTCTAACTAATGTCGTAAACAGGGTTTTAGTGATATAAGGGTCACAGAATTCTTTTGACCATCGNGAGGGGAAAAAAGTAGGAATTGTTTTTGAATTCATTCTATCTTGTCTGAGTAAATTTGATACGTTGGATTCCAAACCATCGAACTGTATTCCAAAATCGGTCTAACTAATGTCGTAAACAGGGTTTTAGTGATATAAGGGTCACAGAATTCTTTTGACCATCGTTTCACAGATGCAAGAACACCTTTAGCCTTGTTGACTGTCACATTAATGTGAAGATTAAAATTAAGCTTAGGATCCATTGTGATACCAAGGTCCACAGAATTGTATACCTGTTCCAGGTTACCTATTGTATAAGAAGAGGGATGAACAGCTCTTCGCGAGAAGCACATTACTTTACATTTCTTATGATTTAGAGGCATACGATTTACTTTACACCAGTAAGCCATGCTGTTTAAGTCTGATTGTAGCAAAGACCTTTCTTTCATTGAAACGTACGATTTATAAAGCTTTCCATAATCTGCATACATTAAAATTTTGGAAAATTGTGTATCTGTAGAAATATCGTTTATAAAAAGCAAGAACAGAACCGGGCCTAGGTGGCTACCTTGAGGGACTTCAGATGGTATTGAAGAGTCTACAGCGAGGAGTACGCCACCGCCGATTCTGTCCTCCCTATCTTGTCTATAGATATGATAATTATTTGGAAAAATCTCTGAATTGAAAATGTGAGGTTTCAGCCAAGTTTCAGTAAAAGAAATAATATTATAATTACATTCAAGGGCTTTAAGGCATAAGTTCGTTCATTTAGTATTTAAGCCTCTTACATTTTGGTAATAAATACTTAAAGCAGATTTAATAATTAGTTTTTTGATTCAGTGTTATGACGGGGAATATTAGCAGAGTTATTTCCTTTTTTGGGCCTATATTCGAATTCACGAACGAAAGCTCCGGGGGGCCAAAAATAACTACTAAGCAGCGCATTAAAATTATCTAAATTTACGTCAGTTTTAAATGAAGCAATATATCTTTCGTATTTAAAATTAAATTTTCTGATGCTTAAGTCGACAGTTCTAATTTTTGATGAGATATAACACTTTATATCGTCGGTAGTGTCTCTCGAAAATCTAGAGACAAAGATTGACTTCTTTGGCGGGAAGGCGGTGGAGGCTTTAATGACGATGTCACCACTTCAATTGGGGAAGGGGAAGATACTTCAGGCTCGTTATTATTCGAAGCAAATTTCGTTACACGCTTTTTTGAGGCTGAGGATTCTGATGCTGGAGGACATGGGGAAGATAGATTTATTAAGTCAGTCGGAAGATTATTCTGAGGTGCAACGGTAATTATTACCTTAGATGGACTATGAAGACAGTGATCGGACTTCTACCACATTGTGGTAGATCTGCCACCTTTTTCTCTACCAATAGAGATATAATCGGTAGAGAAGAGTTACAGAAACGAGCCTAAATAACTTGAAAAGATCAACTTCGGTGGACCTGCACTTTACGTAAGACCAGCGAAGGCCCTTGCCATCATTAATAGCGTTCAGAATTCTTCCTGTCAAACCAGCACATTTTAGATGGTAAATACCATCACAAAGCCAGCACGATCAGTAGCGATCAGAATCGCTTTTAATTTGACAAGTATCAAGATTGCACTTCATATTGAAAGATTTATTTAATAACCAGGGAACGCATTTTTAGGACCTAAAAACCTATAAAAAAAGGCAAAATAAAATAACGAAATAGGCTGGAAAAGGCAAAATAAAATAGTGAAAAAGGCAGGAAAAGGCCCTAGGTGTTGCAAAAATGGCAAAACAAAATAGCGAAAAAGGCAGAAAGAGGCACTAAAAAAAGACAGAAAATACGAAGAACAATCAAAAAATACATTTATTTTAGAAATGTTTATATTACAAGTAAAAAGAGAAAAACTATGAACTAGTTTCATTATATGGAAAATTTGTACTTAGAATCTTTGACTATTTTATCCTTTCTAGTTTCTAACTCATAAAGCTTTAATCTGTATAGTTGTAGTAACATTGAACCACAAGATGCATTTTGAAGTTTTCTGGCAGCATTTTCATTCGATTTTCGCGAAGAAAAGCCTTGAATATACTAAATGTGTGCTCGACGTAAGTTGATACAAGTAACAAGTGATTTAAATATGGATCGTTTGAAACGTTCATATTATCAGGAATAAGGGCGTTTTCCTCGCCCTTTACAATTTTATCCACACCCCTTATTGTCTCCAAGCCTTCGTTAGCTGAGAAAACGGCTTTGAATTTTTCCAACACCAATTTGGCAAGAGGTCTCTGCGCTTCTATAAGCCGCATGGGCAATGTGTATATTTTTTAATCTTAAAAAAAAAAAATGTAAATGCTATAATCATTTTTTTAAAGGTAGAAAAGGCAAATATCTTAAAAAAGGCAAATATCTTAAAAAAGGCAAAAAAAGGCAACATCAAATGTGTATATATGGAATCAGAGAAAGCTAAATCGTGGACATTCTTAATCGAATATGCTCTATCTCGTTAGCAGAAAAAAAGGCAATTTCCATAAAATCCGTTCCCTGGTAATAACACTTGTTAATAAAAAGACAAACAAAATAAATTATAACAATTAAGGAGCTGATGTAAATAGCTTTAAGTAACTGTAGCGAACAGTTTGAGTAACACTGTAATTATGACACTTAATAAACGCAACGCAACAGCTGTGACAAGAATTACTAGAAGTAAACAAACAGAGTAGAACAAAGTGCAAAAACAAAACGAATCCAGTTAACTACAAAGGATACATCAACAATGATAGCAACAAATGACTCGGCAAGATTAGACTGTATGCTAGTGAAATTTAATTAAATTTTAGCCGTCATCGATTCGCCACTTCTCGCTCGCTATGTTTGAGTTCCGGTCGATTAAAGAAGAATTTTGTATGTGAAAGCAACAACAATAGCCGTCATCGATTCGCCAACAGTTAGCGAGTGGCGAAACGAACGAACTCAATGAGGTATAACCAAACTCGCTATCGTCTATCCGTGCTAGCTAACTTTGTTGTTGCTTTCACATGCAAAATTTTTCTTTAAACGAGCGGAACTCAAACATAGCGAGCGAGAAGTGGCGAATCGATGACGGCAAATGTCAGCTAGCACGGATAGACGATAGCGAGTTTGGTTGTACCTCATTGAGTTCGTTCGTTTCGCCACTCGTTAACTGTTGGCGAATCGATGACGGCTAAAGTTAGCTAGCACGGATAGACGATAGCGAGTTTGGTTGTACCTCATTGAGTTCGTTCGTTTCGCCACTCGTTAACTGTTGGCGAATCGATGACGGCTAAAGTTAGCTAGCACGGATAGACGATAGCGAGTTTGGTTGTACCTCATTGAGTTCGTTCGTTTCGCCACTCGTTAACTGTTGGCGAATCGATGACGGCTAAAGTTAGCTAGCACGGATAGACGATAGCGAGTTTGGTTGTACCTCATTGAGTTCGTTCGTTTCGCCACTCGTTAACTGTTGGCGAATCGATGACGGCTAAAGTTAGCTAGCACGGATAGACGATAGCGAGTTTGGTTGTACCTCATTGAGTTCGTTCGTTTCGCCACTCGTTAACTGTTGGCGAATCGATGACGGCTTTTGTTTAATATAAAACACAATACCTTTCACTAAACTTCAATTATTTCACACTAAGACGCTCATAGGCACTTTTTATCACAACTTTAACTCAGAATTAGCACAATAAACTTAGCAAATAGAAAGCCGAAATCAGAGCACAATATAAGTACAACCTCACAGCTTGACAATTGCAATGTCATGTATACACATACATAAGTAGTACTAGCTAATTTTGGACTAGGACATTAATCCATTTTTCGAAATCGGTTGACGTGGTCCAAAGTTATGCGGTAACACACATAAANTTTGCAATGTCATGTATACACATACATAAGTAGTACTAGCTAATTTTGGACTAGGACATTAATCCATTTTTCGAATTCGGTTGACGTGGTCCAAAGTTATGCGGTAACACACATAAAAAAAAATATTCCGACGAACTGATAACCTCCTCCTTTTTTCGAAGTCGGTTAATCAACCAAACCAAACGATTCTATATGTGTGCCAGATGAAAATAGGAGCATTTCCGTTTCACTTGTACGAGCATCTGCTCTACACAGAAAAAAATTCCACCCGAGTTATCCGAATCACTTGAGGAATTTCAATACATCCACTAAATTAGCTAAAATCATGCAACTTTGTGCAATACTCATTGGTTTCACATAAAGCTAGTACAACATTCACTCATATCACAGCAAGTGAATACAACGAGTGGTTAATTTCGTGAATGTGGTTCGTAGCGACAGAGAGTGGCACGAGCAAAATACTCTCGCGGCGCTCGCACTTCAGACGATTCCATCAGCTCCAGATTTTGAGAAAAACCAGGTCAAAAAACAGCGTTTTTGCAATATTTTGGGAGCTCTGGCAAAGAAACAGAAGGTGGTAGAACCTTCCTCTTAGGCTTAAATAAAAGCCAGAAGTCTCGACTACTATCTCTGAAAATACCGTTGCTGCATCTTGATCTTATGGTCGCTTACAGTCATTTATTAAACAGCAAAAGCTCATTTTGCCACAATAGTCCAGTTTGTGGTTATTGTTCAATAAATGACTATAAGTGACCATCGGGTCAAGGTGCAGGGATTGCATTTTCACGATGCTAAATCAGGATTTACTCGAGCGTCATTTTGACCTATTGAATTTTGAAGATGATATGATGGGAAGAAGGAAAGGTCATGTGATGTTTTTCCATCCAGCGGCGGGTAGAGGATCTAAAGGCTTTCAAAAATGTAAATGTATGGTGGGGTTGGGTGTACGGAAGGGTCGATTTACGGTATCACTGGTATTACTGGTATCATTTGCGAGCGTTTGCTTCGCTGGGTATACTTACAGTCATATGATTGTGACAAATAATATGCACGGAAAACAGCAATCAAATCAAAAAATAACAAATTTGGTAGAAAAATATGTAGTAGTTTTAAAAACCAGCAAATGCGCGCGCTAATCTTTTCTGACGACTTGCGTTACTGCGGCATGTGGAAATCGTCAGATTATGTACTTCCCGTTATCCTTTAGCTCTTTACTTCATAATAAAAAAGAATTACCGCGCTCGAGAATGTCCAGGTAACGTTTTTTTGCAAGTTTGCGACCCTCCCCATCCCTTGCGTCACGCTCAAATCGTCATTTTTTTACTATTCGATCAGCTCTCGTATGTGCGCGGCTCTACATAGATGGCTTAGATTTGGCAGAGGTACTCAACAGGATGCAGGGTCCCGAATCCTCTCTTGGGCTCCCCTACTATTAGTGGAATGTTGTATCAGCTTTTGTCTCTTTGCTAGAGCTTTTCAAATATTGCAAACCACGTGATTTTTTCAAATTCTGGAGGTGATGGAAACTTTATACTTACGGATTCGTAATCAGCACAAAAAAGTCTATCAAAAACAGCTCTTACATTTGCCGCATCAAAATCAGTGTTGCCCTGTGTTATTGGGAAATAAAGGTAAGCGCATATTAACCACTGGAGATTACTTTAATATATAATGGATACATATTGTCCTCTAATAAATGGCAATAATTAAACAGCGGGCATATGCGAGCTTTTTCACTTTTCGTTATCAAATTTTCTATTTGCTTATTTTCTTTATTTGTACTTATTGCCTATTCTTATAAATGTATACGCAGAAACGGAAATCTAGAAGTGAATAGATGAGAAAGCGAAAGAATAAAGAAAATTGCTTCATAAATAAAAAGGTTTGCGCCTTCTAAAGACAGTTTTTAAAACAAGAAATTTTTTAGTAAAAAGTCATTTTTTTAAACTTCTATTTATAGAAGCAAATTTTTACATTAAAAAGAGGAATAAGTGAAAACCAGAGACCGAAAGTAACCGGCCCAATTATTGCTCTGACACAAATTGTCATTTATTTCTTGTTATAAAAGATAAGCTGACCAACCGTCCTCCTTTGAAGAGGATTGTCCTCATCAAAAATATTGTCCTTCTTGTCCTTTTGAGCAAAATATCCTCCTTGTCCTCCTTTTCAAGTTTTATAGCAGTGATGAAATTTTCCAAAAATTTCTCTCAGAATATTATTATTTCCTAATCGTACACAATCATTNCTGTCCTCCTTTTGAGCAAAATATCCTCCTTGTCCTCCTTTTCAAGTTTTATAGCAGTGATGAAATTTTCCAAAAATTTCTCTCAGAATATTATTATTTCCTAATCGTACACAATCATTTTATTTAAAAGGAGTTTACATTGTTCAAAATTCAGGTAAGTGATGTAAACTTTTGATTCAACTAACCGCCTGTGAAAGTTGAAAAGCGTACACGCCTTTTTGCCTTGAAGCTCAGTTAGGCTTAATTTTCGTGACTTAATTTAACTGTGTGGACGCTTTGCTGTAGTGGTAAGCAGTGCGCGCTTCCACTCCGCAACGCCTGGGTTCAAACCCTGGTCAAAGCAACATCGCAAAAAAAATATAGAAAAAGGTTTTTTCTTAACAGCGGTCGTCCCTCGGCAGGCAATGGCAAATCTCCGAGTGTATTTCTGCCATGAAAAAGAGCTTCTGATAAAACTACAATCGCCGTTCGGAGTCGGCGTAAAACAGTAGGACCCTCCTCTTTGTGTGACAACATCAAGGCGCACGTCACAAATCGGAAGAGAAGCTCGAAAAACCCCATAGGTAAGAAATATAACTAGACTAATTCTGAGTTTGTAAATTATACTGCCGGGTAACTACAGCTGTGAAAATAGTTATTGGAAACACATTCTTTAGCAAGCAATTTTTAAGCAAAAAAACACCGCCTTCAATTCTCATATAAAAATTCAGGAGCACTGTTAATTTTTTCATGATAAAATGATCGGAACTTAAACCAAATATGTAAGTATGGGACTACCCTTGAGGTTCCACCTTTCTGGTAAAAGAAAGGATTTTCGAAAATATTTCTCCGAATTCACATTTTTATTTTTATCAATAAGACATATATTTTTTCTATTTATTTTTCAACATTTACATACGAGTGTGTACATATGTATGTATGTATGTACTGATGTGTATCGAGAAAAAAAAGTAAAATATTTTCATTTACTTTTTCAGCTCGTTGCTATAAATTCTATATAAAACAAACGTTTTTACATATGTATTTACTTTGCAAATATTTAAGCCTTAACATAACTTAGGTTCTTTCGAAAACTGTAAACTTTTGGTAGAAAGATGAAAAACATCGAAGTACGGCCGTTAGATATACATATATACAACATTTTCTTTGCCAAAAACTGCGATTTTCCTTCATTCAATTGTAATCCATAATCCGGTAGCCGTGTCATCTACATAATGCCATCCAATCTAAAAGAGATAAAAAAGATTTGTTTATTTTGCTTGAACACTTGAGCGGATTTGATTTCTTATGAAAATTTATCATTTTACACTTTAATTGCTTCCGCATTATTTTTACCCTTAAACTGTGGTTAATAAATAGTAGTAAACCGGTTTTTAGCTCTACGCTCATTCAATAATACATACATATTTACCGCAATCACAAAGCCAATATTCATAGTTGCCAACTTGGTGCTTTAAGCACTAGATTTAGTGCTTTTTGAAAATTAAAACCCCAAAAAAAATTAGTTAGTGCCTAGTGCCTTTTTTAGTGCTTTTTTTCTGAACTAAAATTACTTCGAGATAGTTAAAACCTGAAATAATTTGAAATATTTAAGGCTGTTGCAGCACTGAATTTACAAGAACCTACAAATTTAAATGGACTAAAATACAACAATGATTGATAAAAAGCTGAAGATGCAAACCCACCTTGTTAAATTCTATTCGCGTTGAAAATGCTAGTACGCAAGTAATTAAGTATTTCTTTTTTTATTTTCTAATTATTTGTACCAATTTTGTTTTTCTTTTACCACCTGAGTAAAACACATCTTTTCTTGGTGTTGAATCCAAATCTGGCCTCACAATTGCTCTACCACTAGAATTTTGAGATATCCTAACATCAAAGTGCCAAAAACACGGTTTTTAGCGATATTTGGGGTTATATAATGAAAACATCAAATTATTTGCTGATTTATAATTAGGGCATAATTTTCGTTTGATGCGATTCGATTTTTCTTTCTCGAGATATACCAGTTTTAATGATCAGTACTTCGGTATTACGTTATGAAAAAAGCATCCCTTGATTCAAAAAAATTTGGTGCTTTTAGTATCGAGCCCTAACTGCCAAAATAACGTAAGCGACTTTTTTTTCAAAATTTTCTTTTTGATGCAGAAATGCATCTAGATGCTCTAGGAATATTTCTGCATCAAAAAGAAAATTTTGAAAAAAATGTCGCTTACGTTATTTTGGCGGTTAGGGCTCGGTATGGTAAAACACTTTTTCTCCAAGTTTTTGGTGCTTTTTGAAAATCAAAAGATGGCAACACTGCCAATATTGGTATGTAGCATATGCACAAATACAGACGTACATACATAAGTACATATATATATATGTATATACAAGCTAACTTCAGTTCAAAATTACTTTAATAATTAAAAAAAAAGTGTGAATAAATTTATGTATTACACATAACTACATTAGTTGCGTACCCTAATTCGGAAGAAGTTGCAAGAATTTACAGGAATTTACCAGAAAGCGTTCCCGTACTCGGTTCTCTGGCAAAGTAGGGGAAAAATGGGAGAGTAAACTCGATCTCCCCTTTGTCAGAAGTCGCAAGATTTTACCCGAAGAATTTTCGCTGGTAAAATCTGGTAAAGTGTCAAACCATCAATTGTTCAAACGAATTGAGAGTTGAATAAGCAAAAACAAAAGTACATCTGCATTCTCACCTTATTAAATATATCGTAGCGAAGAAATAACAAGTTTTGTAAGTTTGTGTATTTGCGTATAATTTAGCACATCGCCAAATGATAAAACTGCTATGTAGACAAAAAATTGCGTCCAAGGTGTATTTGACAGTTCTACCAGTTTTTACCCGAAAAGCGTTGCCGCACTTTATGAGTTGTTTCTCTCCTCTCTCTCTCTCAGAGCAATTTTGCTTTTTGACAGTTTTACAGGTTTTATCCAGGAAATTTGAGGAACGAAGCTATTTGTTTACTTCGAAATCGCCTTATTACGTATTCCATGTGAACAAATATTCCCAAAAATTATAAAGCACAAAAAAAGCACCTTTGCTATTGTTTTGCCTGTTAAGTTATGAGAATGATTTATTCACATAGCATCAGCAATAAGGCTGATTGTTTTTGTGTTTAATTCTGAATATTCTCACGCAAAATTTATGATTACATTTTAAACCTTTGTGTCCGATTCTTTCAACGGCACATAATCCATTGAAATTGATATTTCAAAGAAAATAATCAAAACACTGTAAGTTCAATAACAAATTAGTATAATTTGAACGATGAGACCATAAATAGTCATTGCTTTTAACATTAATTTTTTCCGCTGCTACTACTCCATATATAAACTTTATTTAAGCGCTTTAAGTTAGTTTTTCCACTACGTATGTATTTAAGCGGTAAAGCAAGCACTGACTTTCTTGATGTTGAAATGTCGACTGAGTTTTCAAGTTAACAAGTTCAATGCGGCAATCATATTTCGGCATAGTTATGTGGATAAATAATGTGACCAACTTATTTTATTTTTAAAACAGTGCAATGCAGTACACAAAGAAATAGTATAAAAAGTAATTACATTCTTCAATTCATTTGGCACATTTGTTCTTGCGGCTCAAACAAAGTATTACCGTTATTTAATGCCTTGATTTGTATATAATAGGTGTGCTCCACAAGCTATGCACTTGTAGAAAAACTCGAGCAAAGTTCAAACTGTCAGCGTTTATCACATAAAATCTAAAACTTACTTGTGGAACGCGTATGTGTAACTCGAAGTGACTTCGAGTAGCTTGTGAAACAAACCTAATATTTCTGCAACTATATATAGTGCTCAATCTGGTCCTCAAGTCAGTCCTACACATTTTTAAACTACTAAATATACGTTCTACTGAAGCATTGGAAAAGGGCTATATTGGTAATGCAGATATAATTTTTTTTAATTGGGAAACTTATATGAACCTGAAGAATCTTTTAATTCAAAAACTTGTCCTATAATTTTCTGGATCTAATGAAGAATCAATATAAACATCCTTATGATCGAACAATGCGTGTTCTCTCCATTCGTTACCGAGATTTTGCAAGTTGAAAATAAGTTGAAAATATAACGATGGAATGAAAAAAATTATCGATAATATTTTGAATAATTAGCAGCAAATGCAGATGTGCTTAAGAGCGAAAAACACCACACTATCCCTTTCCTTAAAGCTATTTATTTTGCGCATGGAGGTGTTTGAAGGTTTGACAAGCCATGCGTGGGAAATGTAAACAAAAATCAAGAAATGCCGCCATGTTGAAGTTTGATTTTCAACGGAATTTTCACCGAATGAGGACGCAAGAGAGAAAAATTTAAGAAAACTAAACTCTTTTACATTTGTTGTCTGCAAAGATATCGAGAGAGAGTTCCTCAAAAATTCCTCAAAATAAAAATCCTCCAAAAAAAACTCAATTGCACCCGAAACGCCTCATTGAGGATTTACTCACAAAGTGGTTACACTGCTTTAACTACTGCGAACATACCGATATACTTGCCTTAACTACTACTTTTGTTGACGCATTATGGTCTGATTATGGCAACTTAACGTAAACTACGGTTCTCTTTAAAAAATTTTATTAAATGGGTGTTACCTATAATTGAACAGCCGAAACTTAACGTAACTTAATGCCACGTCGAAATCTGTTTCATTTTGATTCTCTAAGTTCTACGTTCCGTTAAGTTAAGTTAAGTTGCCATAATCAGGCTTTTAGGCTGACTCAGGGTAGCCAGCCCATTTTTCAGAATTCCCCGTTTTCGACAATGAAATTCGCCGATTTTGCCCGAAATTTCGTAAAATTCCCCACCCATCTCCAGATATCATTCAGATATCTCTTTATTTACAAAAAACATGTATCTATTTTGATATATTGCTGTTCTTTCTGCTTATTTTATTATTATGTATTTATAAATCAAACCAAACTTTTATAAAGTTAGTTAACAAATAAAGAATAAAAAAATTTTATATAATATTTACATACATACAGTGGTCGAACAAATTTTAGTCGCACCAAGTTTTGCCAAGTTTTCACAATTATGATTTTTTTTTTTTTTTTTTTTAATTTGAGTTACTTTTTTTATAAACATATAGTTCACTCTTTAACGAAACCCGTATAACTCCAAGTTTCAACCTTTGTGCAATATTAAAAAAAAATCAACAAACTTTCGTAAAAAGTTCGACCTTTTAATTATATTTTCCAGAAAGATGTTTATTATGCAGTTGCGACAAAGAAATTTCTAAAAACTCAACAGCATTTTTTAACCATTTGAAACTTTGTTGTACTAGAATTGAATGAACTGAAATTCCCCACAAAAAAAAGGTCCATTCCCCGACTCCCCACTCAAACTGAAATTCACACCAAATCGGAGAATTCCTCACGAGTTGGCTTCCCTGGGCTGACTGGTTGTGAAGCTCCGAATGCTACTTGAACCTCGTGAATCAGAAAGCAATGAGATCATGAATATCTTTTTCTCTCAGTACGCCGCGAACAGTGTTGCCAGATGGTTTATATAACTTCACCCTAAGATTATTTCATTTCCCCTAAGAAGCCCTAAATATACATAAGGGCATTTCAGGATCTTGTGCATATGCTGATACATTTGTAAATTCACAACAATAAAACGCACCCTTGCCATGGCAGCAAGCATAAAATTTGCAAATTAAATTCCAACTGCAAATCCAAGACCATTATCCTGAACAGTCCTATAGTTTGTGGGTGTCCAAGTTATATCTGGACTAGTAACTCGGCTATCTAGCATTGTTGGACGTTAATCAATAGGGGTATTCTCTGAGCCTTGCGAAGCTGTTGCACGGTGTATGGCTTGCCCGTTTTGCAAAGCTGCCCCACACGAAACCGGTTTTTGCCGTGCAATCTGTGCACCGTGCAAGGGCTTTGCAAGACTCCGAGAATACCCCGAATGAATTTTTCAGTCAACTGGTCAAAGAGTAACTTGGTTCATAGAACCAAAATTACGAATAGATCGAGCACGGAATCCTACTGGGCAGTAGTCAAGGAGCTCACAGACGATGGAGGCAATAAAAAATTTGGTAACATTTCAAAGCTTGTCCTTGAGCTGTTGAGTCTACCATTTTCGAATGCTGCAGTCGAATATGTATTCTCAACAGTCAATATTATCAAGGAAAAGCAACGTCTATTGCAATGGTCGACGCTTTTTTTCATGTCCGCTGCACTCTTGACGCTGAATGTGGCAAACGATTCAACTCTGAAACGGTCTGCGCTATGTTGATGGACGATGATATCATTGTGATGAACTCCTTATCTAGTGATGTATTTGAAAAGCTTGATTACTGAATGGGGATGAGGGAAGCAAAAGACATTCGATATCTACCTAGTCTTTTATCATGAACCAAATATACTTTTTTTGTACTTTTACCTTGCCACAATCAATTTATAATAAATATATTCATTACAAACTCGTGCATAGTACATGCAGCATTATTCTGTTCGAAGGTTCCATTTTTCTTTGATTACTCTTATAACAAAAATAAATAATAAATAAATGGGTTTGAAACCTACCTTTTTATTTAAAGAGGCATTTTTATTATAGCATTATTTTTTTATAATTTCATTAATTATTTTATTATTATGGATGCTGGCTATGTTTACGGCTCACTTATATTCGATGTTCTTTTTGTGATAACGAAAGTGCTGCCTCGTTTGTGCGAAAAATTTTTTTTAGGCCAGAGTACACTGAAAATCGGGACTTAATCGGTACAAGTAAGAAAAATCGGGACACTTATACGTCCCGACTTTTAAAAAATATTCAGCGGGACAATTTTCTCAATATCGCTATTGCCCGCCAAAATCGGTACGAATGGTCACCGTAATTATAACACATATTAATAGTGTTTTTGCTTTATGAATTTTTTATATTATTTTAAATATTTAATATTTAATTAATTAATAACTTGCAATATTCAAGGTGACCTTAAATATAAGTCAAATGAAATTTTAAATTAACTAATGGATAGCTTTCAAATAATAGATGCATTTGTTAAAATATTATGTTTGTTAATTGATCAGGATTCAGCTTTCAGCTGCATTTTTAAATCCTTTTTGAATTACTGACGTCATATCTATATTGATTGTTGTGTATAATATTTACTATCGCACAGTGTTATATGTATAATGAGTTAGACATTTATAAAAAAAAAAAATTATTTATTAAATAAAAACAAAGAAATATAGCCAATACTGGCCAAGAAAAGTAGTTTCTATTATTCATCGGTTCATATTACAAATCCCGAAAAGCCTAATATATATCAAATTTGGTAAAGATTGGCAAACTGATATGATTTTTAAAATTTTTATGAGGAACCATGCTTTTACTAAGGACCTATATTAAACAGATCCGAAAATTTAATTCATGTAAACATAAAAATTTAATGTGGTAAGAAGGCCATAGCTAATGTTGGAAAGGGTACAGTATGTTTATAGTTTTACATAGGTGAATACGAGTAAAGTTCCAAATAAGACAAACTTGCTTAAATGCTTCTTAGTATTCATAAATATATATTTTTTCTTTATTTTTTTTTAATTGTCTTGGTTTTCTGCTGGTGTACAGTGAATACTTTTTAAATGAATTGCGTTTTGGTGATGCAGGTTTCCACATCAACACTAATTAAATCTAAATCGGTAACGGCTTTTTCTGCCGCATTATTTGTACATGCATCTGATTGCGTAAATACGGCTGAGACGCGCTTATTAGCTCCTTTGATAGTTTTTATGGATCGACGAGCATTTTTTAAATATAGCGTGGCTTTGATTGATAATTTGGCATAACAAGAATTCTTCAATACAATATTTTTGTAATTTTGGCACTTCTGGTAAAGCTTTAGGACGTCATAGCCATCAAACACCAATTGTTGTGTGGCTGAGTTAACGTCATTTAGTATCTCTACTGATGTTTTAGCAGCAATAATTCCACACACATTTAGTTCGTCATGAAAGGTATCCACAACCAACTCCACTTCTTGATCTTTGGCTGCTACACAGTTGTCGTTTTCCTGACGACGATCCTCAATCTTGATCACAGCGCTATCGACTTGCTGAAGAGGCTCCACTACGATTACCTTATATTGAACTTGTAAAGCCTCTGCAGTTCGGAGCGCTTCGTCTTGTGCTTCCTTTATTATATTGTTAACGGTTCCCTCATAATTAATGATCGGCAATGGAACATCAGCTGCACTTGCCTAAAAACAAATATGTATATACTTAGTTAGCTACATTCTTTCATCTCTTCAACTAAATCAATTTATTAAACATTACTATAGCTACAAGAAACAAAACAGAAGCTGTTATGATGAGCCCCTTCATTTTCTATGTTTGGTAAGACTTAAAGAACTGATTGGATTCATTATTGTCGTGGCTCCTTTTTATACAAAAAAACAATATACCGAACGACTTATATTCTTTAGATTAGAAAATGCATACATATGTGTAATTAAACCGCCGCAATAAATCATGATAATAGTAGATAATAAATTATTTGTTACTTTTCGCTTAACCTTTTATTGAAAGTAATGAGTTATAATTCAAATTTTTTTTCATTTTTGATATTAAAATGTTTGCATTTCATAACCACAAGTATTGTTATTTTAGCAGATTGTTCTTTGTTAGTATAGTTAAAAGATAGAACCAACTACCAATCCCAATTAAATGTAATACACCTTTCTTAATTCGTCTTTGCTTTTGCTTCTCCCTTCTTCTAAAATATTGTTTGGCGTTGTTTATTGTATCTTTACCAATATATGATATCATTGATATTGCTGTTATTATGTACTATTTTTGTTTTCAATCTTATTCTTCTCTTTTAAAATTACAACCATTTGTCGGTTGTATTTTTATAAGCTTAACTATGTCCATGTCCATAGATCTTTCCTCTCTCGAAATCCCTCAATGCCTTCTCATCTTTGTTTGACATCGTTTATGTTTGGGCGCTCTATGAAAGGATAAGCATGATGTGAGGCTTGCAGAGCGTGATATTTGTTCGTCAAGAGAGGGCTCTGCTTTTCAATTGCCTACTGAGCACAACCGTTTAAATTTAATTACAGCTTAAGCTAATTTGTAATTTACCTGGGTAATTTACCAGCAAAATATCCGGAAACGTATCCGAAAATGGAAACAATTTCGTATAAAAACCTGATGTTTCATCCGTTTTCCGATTCCGTTTTCGGACGTTTTTTAGACCAATTCTCCCACTTAAGTGTTCAGCCGAAACGTATGTGCAGAAAACTATTCCTGAAAATTGTCTGATTCAATTTTTCGTTGAAAACAATTTCATTGTGAACTTCACAGAAACTTTTTCATAGTTACTGGAAGCCAAAAAAAAAAAACAATTTAAGATTCAGCAATTATTTCAATTTAAATAAATAATTTCAATGTGTTGCTTCTGACGGAATTCGAACCTGGGACCTCCTTAAAGCTAACAAATAGTAGCACACTTCTCTACACACGCAGCTACTGGTGAATACGTATAGTACATGTTTTCAAATGCTCAGGTTGAACAAATATTTTAAAATTATTGTTTTGAAATAAGATGAAGACATTTTTCGGATACGAAAAATTAACAAATATGGAAATCGTTTTCTGAACGTTTCCGAATACGAAAAATGTACGAAAACTGCACTTTCGGCAAAAAGTACGTTTCTCTGCTGGCTGGATAGTTTTTAAATCGCACACAGACCATTTCAAAAATGGTTATTTGTAGCTTAATGAGTTATTCCAAAGGGTTTGTGGTAAATTTAAAATGTATAAAACTGTATGTACCTTATTTTATCATAGTCCATAATGCCACGTGGCACAGTGGTCTGAATGGGGAATTTAGCGAGATAATATATAGGGCCACTGATTACAAATCTTCAGTCAGGCTTCAAAAATCCAATATGGCGGAAAAATTTGTTTAAATTTATTGAATTCGTTCGAAACTTGTTACTCGGGTTGCTAATTATGAATACTAAGAAATTATAGTTGGTCCTTGTACCGAATCGAAGACTTTCATATTTAGTATTTCCCGCTAGATTCTCCAATCAGACCACTGTGCGTGGCAGTACATTTTTTCTGTAGCTCTTGTTGTTTACGAAATGGGGGCAAAAAATGAATATTTCATGAAAAAAATTGGTACAGTGACTCGTACTACCTCGCTGGTGGGAGTTAGGGTTACGCCGCAATGGACAGTTTTGTAGAGCACTCAACTCTGAAGAAACCCTATCATTGACCAAGATTATAACATAAAATACCATTGAGCTGCAGAATATTGAAGAAGGAAATATTTAAGTTTACGTGTATGTATTTTAAATGGGAAATCTGCACGCCTTGGTCAAGCACTTAATATTAATGTTAAGGGCTCAAATTTTCTGGCAATTTTTTTTAGGGAAAATTTTGAGGTGGGAGTGAAAAAAAAATTTGTCGCAAACAACCTTTCAGCTGATTAAGTGCATTTATTGCCACTTGGCACAAAATTAAAAAACTCATTTATCATCCCTGCTTTGGGGTGCTTCGTCAAAACGTTTTTTTTTGTCTTTGAATCTGGGTTTCCGTTCGGGATCTAAGGAAAAACCATGCAAATTTGTGCTATTTTTATTCATTAATAATCCAAAAACAGCAGTGAAAATAAATCTATCTAGATAATCTATTCAAAATTGGTCATAACGAAGATTATAATAATAATAATAACATTGGCGCTTACACATACATACATACATATGTTAGCGTTCGGCCGATCTTCTCCTCCGATTTGTGGCGTAGGGGATGGACCTACAGATTTACACCGACTCTGAACGGCGATTGTATTTTTATGAGAAGCTGTTTTTTCTTTTGATGTTGGGTTGAACCGGTGTTGAACCCAGGCCCTGCGGAATCGTAGCGCGCACTGCTAACCACTACACCACAGCGAACATTAGCTTTATAAAAAAGTGGTTCAGTTAATTAGTATAAAAAAACGGTTAATCCGGTTCAAAACCCGTAGACGCCCTGGTATGTACATCATATTTGAGATCAAGATTTGTTTGCTTTCTCCTAGAGAAACTTCAATTACATAAATATTATTAAAAGCGCACTACATTGGAAAACTATTCCCACTGTGCGAAGCAAGCACAAATATTTTAAGAATTTAATAACCACTTTAGATTATCCAATCCGCGCAATTTATGGTCCCACTTGTTACTAAATATTCTGGACAGAAATTGTGCATTAATCTAAATTTATATTTACTTATCAGACGATTGATTCTTTTATAACCTATTTAAGTACAACACATAACTACATACAACATACATACAAGTACACAAGTAATTGGTAAAGAATTCGACCCTTCAGTTCGTAAAAGCACTGAAAATGCTAATTGGACATTTTACACGAGTTATTCAGATTCTTGCAAAACGACTATTAGGCTACGCATAAACTGTTAAAAAGCGCAATAAACTTTAGAGAAACTACGAATAACCTTGACAAACTTGTTAGCCATTCTACCATTCATTCTGAGCACAAGTAGGCACCACAATTACCAAACTGCGAAAATAACAGATTTTAGACAGATTTTCAAGTATTTTTCTTTTACGCAAAGGTAAACATATACATACATAAATACTTGTAGACGATTGCATTGAACTTAATAGCTTTGTTACAATTACTTCACTAAATTCATTCTATTTATGAAAATCCATGCACACATACATATGTATGTATGTATCTATATACATATACGAATATAAAAATAACATGCATATAAATTTAAGTAATATAGTAGGCATGTATGGACGTATGTGTTAAGTAAATTAATAAAGGCAAAATAGTAGGTACTAAATGCGTAAGATTTTAGGAACGTTATGTATGTATATGTATGTACATATGGACGCACACTAAGCCGAATCACTATATATGACAAAAAAAAAACCGTTGTGCGTGTGGCAATTTTATTTTAACACTTATAATAGATTTGTCCCACACGAGCCCGCGGGATCTCGCGGGTGCCGAAAACAGCCCGGAAAGCTTTCCTTACGCTAGAAAAATGGGTAATAGAGAGCGGATACGTTCCACTTTTGGATCGTAAATGTCTTCTTCTTCTTGCCCGAAACAGCCCGGACTTTTTTCCGGGCACAAAAGCTTGAACTTTTGCTGATTTTATTTTTTATTGCACAAAGTTTGATATATTTATATTTAGACGATTTTTGCTAAAGAATAAGCTGCTCTTAAAAAAAATACTAAAATTAAATAACAAAAAAAAATTGTTGTGGTGCGCTTATAATTTCGACACGGGGTGTATAACGATGGTACACTACTTTACATCTGATGGTTTGCGCACTACTGTAAATTTGTATAGCTTATGTAAATGGTTTTTATTAATTTTCGATTTTAATCGAAACGACCGATTAATCGGTTAATTTCTTACGATTAATTGCAATTATTAATCGAATGCTTTTGATTAATCAATTAACCGATTAATCGATTATTAAATTTATTTTGCCACCACTACTCAGAGCGCAAAAAATTTTTTATGAAAGTACGAAAAAAACGGATTCCCAAAGTTGCCCTTGTTTAAACTGCAGCGAGTAGCAGCTGGAATAGAATTCCATAAACTCGTGGCGTTGACAAAAAATAGTCTTGCAGAGTTAAGATAAATTATATCTAGTTACAATTAAGTCACTTATACGTGCAGATTTTAGAAAGGTTAGCTATTATACAGATAGCTAAGTAGCTTATCCGACATTAAACGGAATAGAAAAATACAATTCATTGCTTTCAAGTGCTCAGATATCTCAAAGCCCAATACGCGAGATCTCCTACTAGAAATGTGATCAAATTTAGCCAAACCAAATACATAACGTGTTACGTGATTGAAATCGGAGGGGAAGCTCGGCCAAACACTAGCATATTGTGTAAGCGCCAATCTGTTATTATTATTATAAATCAAATAGGTTTTTAAGACCGATACCATTTAGGGGTCCTGAGCGATACCTCTTCCTCGACACAGAGATTTTAAAAATCTAACGTCAAATAAGAAACTTACAGCAAACAACGCGATTTTACAGTTTTTAGCGGGTCACTTAAAAAGTTTGTTCTTTCGACCGAACTGCAAAGGCTCAGTTAGTCTAGGCTTAGTTTACCTATTGGGCAACGCAATATATTTTTGTTCACTAATTTTTTGATGTGGCTTAGGCGGCAATGTGGCAATCGGCCGAAAAGGAAAATACAACAAAAAAAGGCTTTCGCTTCTGGCTGAGTTGACGATTGCTTCCGCAAGTTAAGTCAAGTCTCGACTAACTGAGCCTTAAGTAAGTTAGTACTCCAATTATGCGAAATTGCTTCCTCCGTTGTTAGTTTAGTATGAGGAAAGGAGGATGAAGTATGAAGT